AAGTGGATGAACAACCCGGACTTTGTGACTGAATTTACAGCCGGTACAGAAACTGATCCACCCACATTCTACTCGAGGTCGTGGCACACCACTACTACCCCAGACCTAGCATTTCACTCTCTAGATCTGGAATGGAACATTACACGAGTTGTAGGAAAACAGCTGGGAGGCAGTGATCATCAACCGGTCTTCCTGAATGTAGAAAATGAAAAGGTCAGAGAAACGAGTACGCTGCCAAGGTGGAACTACAAGAAGGCTGACTGGACAATGTTCAAACACCGTACCAGTATACTGCTTGGAAATCTCAGCGTAGACCAGGAGAATCAATACCAAGAGGTGCCCGTAAGCATTATAAGCCATTCTGGAATAGTGAACTAGAAAATTTTCATAACGAAGTGGAAACATCTAGAAAGAAAGCAGAGACCGGGCCAAACCAAGAACATCACAATAAATACCAGCATGCAAAAGCAAAATTTGTTAGGGCAAAGCTGCAGGTTAGAAGGGAAAGCTGGCAGAAGAAAACAAGGTCGCTGAGCTTTGAAAAAGACACAAGAAAGTTATGGAAGCTTGTAAAACAAATTAATGATGAGGACACAGGGTGGAACTCAAAGATCACACTGCTGAAAGACGGAAACATGGTCACAGGAAAAGAGGCAGCCAACCTCTTTGCAGACACTTTTGCATTAGATAATGACATTGAAATCAGTTCAGAGAAAAAACAAGAAATTCAAGAAAAGACACTATTCAGAAGTCAGAAAGAAATAACATCAGAGGCGTTAGAGGTGCCACTTACACTTAATGAATGGAGTTGGCCAGTTCAAAGCTGAAAATGCGGAAGTCACCAGGAGCAGATGGTATATCTAACGAAATGATCAAAAACTTAGGAACAGTGGCCAAAACAAAGCTTTTACAGATATTTAATGCTTGCTGGGCAACAGGGAATGTTCCACAGATCTGGAGAGAGGCAATTATGATACCCCTCATAAAGCCTGGGAAAGACAGTTCTAATGCCTCCAACTACAGACTGATCAGCCTCACAAGCTGTCTCTGTAAAACAATGGAGCGCATCACCAACCTTAGACTACAATGGTACATTGAAAGTGAAAACATCATTACACCAGAGCAGGCGGGCTTTAGAAAGTTCTACTTTACGGAAGAGCAGACACCATACCTCTCCCAAGAAATAGAGGATGCTTATCAAGATAAGAAACTGGTACTCGCCGCATGGATAGATTTAAGGAAAGCTTTTGACAAGGTTTGGAAGAAGGGGCTTTTGAAGAAATTGAGAAACTATAAAGTAAATGGAAGAATGTACAATTGAATTAAAGCTTATCTACATAACAGAAGAGCCCGGGTACAGGTAGATGGTTTCAAAAGTAAAAAAGTTCTACTGCGACATGGCGTCCCTCAAGGTGGTGTCCTGTCGCCCACACTTTTCCTCTTATTTATCAACGAACTGGTTGCTGAAATACCAAATGGAATCAAAATGGCAATGTATGCCGACGACCTGGTACTGAGGTGAACCGATGAACATGCAACGATAGCTACAAGAACACTACAGCGGGCTACATATGCACTTGAGGCATGGGCGAAAAGATGGTGTGTCAGCATCAATACAGACTAATGTAGCACCACACTCTTCACTCTTTCCCCAAAGCAAAAAGCGGACATCATCAAAATAAACGGAATACCCCTAAGAGATGATAAAGAGCCCACGTACCTCGGAGTCACCTTTGATGACAGGTTGACATGGAGGAAACATATCAACAAGGCAGCAACCAAAGCCAGGAGGAAGACAGCCATACTAAGAAAACTAAGTGGAACCACATGGGGAGCCAGTGGGAAAATACTCAAAAAAGTATACAAGCAGAGCATACTTCCACACTTGGAATATGGGTCAACTGCATGGTGTTCAGCATCTAGTACCACATTACAAGGGGTAGGATAAAGTGCAAAATCAAGCACTCAGAGTCATCACAGGAGGGATAAGATCAACCCCCATATTAGAATTGGAGAAAGCTGGGAAAACACAGGCACTGAGAGAACGCAGAGATACAAAGTTGCAAATACAAGCTGAAAAGTTCCTCAGTATGCCAGATCACCCCCTGAAAAATAGATTTCAGAACCTAGCCTTGGGACGGTTAAAAAGAAGCAGCTTTATACATCAAGCAAAAAAAAAAAATATGTAGACAAACTGCTGACCTTCCGGAAATTGCTTGTCCACTTAAAAGTATTCCAGAACAAACCCCATGGAGAGAGAAATGCAAACTAACAGTAAAAATCCAGACAAATGTGAAAGGAATATTTGACAAGAAAGAGCAAGATAGTGTACAACGCAGAATGGCCACCCTCAGTTATATTGATGCAGAATACCCACAAGAACAATGGGTCAGAGTCTAAACAGATGGATCCGCAGAAAGTGCAGTTAGAAATGGTGGTGCTGGAGTGTACATAGAATTCCCAGATGGTACAAGGGATAAGTCCAGCGTACCAAACGGAAAGTTCTGCCATAACTATGATGCAGAAACTCAGGCTATCAAGATAGCAACAGAGAAACTGCTAAATACTAATCTTGGCTCCCAGTACTTGAAGGACTCCAGTCTAGCAAAATACCAGAATTGCAAACACTGCTGACACAACTTAGCCTTCAGCAAAGAGTTGTAATGCAGTGGATACCATCACATTGTGGAGTGCCTGGAAATGAGAAAGCTGTTCAACTGGCAGGAGAAGATGCGACAAAAGTGCAGCCGGATGTACCAGTCACATACCACCAAAAGAAAAGAATCATTAAATCAATCAGGAAACTACCAGCCCCAGCACAAGACGACTATTTTATTTTGGACAGATCAGAACAAGTCATTATCCTCCATTATGTACTCCAGGACTGCACCGAATTTGACACATTAAGGCAAACCTTTTGGCCAGAAAGAACAACAGTGGAACGTAAACTCTATGGACCACTGAATGAATTAACAACAACAGTGAAATTTATACAAGAGACAAAATATCTGATATAGACAACTTATTTCAGGCGAACGAAAGAAGAAGAAGAAGACAGCCGGTACATGCTAACAACAAAACAATGAAACAAACAAAACATTATAAATTGTGTTTCCCCACTCGGCATTTATTTTTATTATTAATTATTATTTCGTACTTAAAAAGACAATTAAACAATTGAGGGACGGGGGGGGGGGGGGGGGGGGGGGGGGGGGGGGGGGGGGGGGGGGGGGGAGAAGGGCTGGGCCAAGCCATATTTACCATCGAATGGTAAAAAATTGTAAAGGTAATTTGCGATGAAAGAATATATAAAAGGCGTTATTTTAGAACAAGTGCAAAGATATAAGAATCTAGTCACGCGGATAACATCCGATGGAAGATGTATCACAGAGATAACATCCGATGGAAGATGTATTACAGAGATAACATGCGATGGAAGATGTATCACAGAGATAACATCCGATGGAAGATATATCACATAGATAACATCCGATGAAACATGTCTCACAGAGATATCATCTGATGGAAGATGTATCACAGAGATAACATCAGATGAAAGATGTAACACAGAGGTGAGATAACATCCGATGGAGGATGTATCACAGTGATAACATCCGATGAAAGATGTATCACAGAGATAACATCAGATGGAAGATGTATCACAGAGATAACATCCGATAGAAGATGTATCACAGAGATAACATCCTATGGAAGATGTGTCACAGAGATAACATTCGATGGAAGATGTATCACAGAGATAACATCCGATGGAAGATGTATCACAGAGATAACATCTGATGGAAGATGTATCACAGAGATAACATCCGATAGAAGATGTATCACAGAGATAACATCTTATGGAAGATGTGTCACAGAGATAACATCCGATGGAAGATGTATCACAGAGATAACATCCGATGGAAGATGTATCACAGAGATAACATCCGATGGAAGATGTATCACAGAGATAACATCCGATAGAAGATGTATCACAGAGATAACATCCGATGGAAGATGTATCACAGAGATAACATCCGATGGAAGATGTATCACAGAGATAACATCCGATGGAAGATGTATCACAGAGATAACATCCGATAGAAGATGTATCACAGAGATAACATCCGATGGAAGATGTATCACAGAGATAACATCCGATGGAAGATGTATCACAGAGATAACATCCGATGGAAGATGTATCACAGAGATTACATCAGATGGAAGATGTATCACAGAGATAACATCCGATGGAAGATGTCTCACAGAGATAACATCCTATGAAAGATGTATCACAGAGATAAAAAGAACAGAGTACGACAGGTCAAAACGGCCTTTTATAAAATGAAGAACCTTTTGTACAATAAATCCATGCCATTAGAGGTTAGGAAAGGAATTCTCGCATGTCTTACATAGCCCGTTTTTTAACACGTGGCTGTGAATCCTGGGCATTTCATAAATATGCAGAACAATATCTTGAAGCCTTGGAGATGTGGTTTTACAGAAGAATCCTTAGAATTTCTTGGACAGATAAGAAGAAGAACCCGGATGTTTTGAAAGAGGCGAGTGCTCGAAGACAAATTACCACAGACATAAAAAAGAAACAGTCATCTTTTTTTTTAAAAATTGTTGGTCAAGTTATGAGAAGAGGGAAAATTGATCAGAGGACAGAGGAAGACAGCGCGATACGATTCTTGACAGTCTTATGTCATATCGTGGAGCTGGTGTTAGCACACGAAGTTGATGGACGGTGTTGCGGATCGCAGATCGTTGAGATGTACGATTTCCCACGCCGGTCGCCAGGGCACTTGATGATGATAAAGGCCTTAAACTCCACCCTACCCCAGACCAATGTTTGCTTTATGTCAGAGCCTGTTCCGTAGTTATCACCCCTTGCCAAGCATGCCGTGAAAGGCGAAATATTAAGGGTTTTTGTGAAAATGAATGTGTTGGGCTGAAAGATGCAGATATTGTACTCTAGATGTAAATAAAAAATCAAAGTGCAAACCGTCTTTTAAAACACAAAAGGAGGAAGAGGAGAAGGAGTGAAAGAAGAAGAAGAAGAGTAAGAAGAAGAAGTTGATGGAGAGGAAGAAGGAAATGAAGAAAAGGAAGAAGAAGAAGAAGAAGAAGAAGAAGAAGAAGAAGAAGAAAGGAAGAAGAAGGAGAAAAACAAGAAGAAGGAGAAAAAAAAGAAGAAGAAGAAGAAAAAGAAGAAGAAACATGTCACTATCACCTTGTCCAGGTTACAACTGACTTCCCTTGCAGTAGACGTACGGCTGACTTATGACCGACACCTTCTCTCTTTAGGTTTTCTGTGCTATCGTTATTCCCTTCACATCTACATAAGTTCTTACGCAAACCAGTCCTGTTTCGGGTCTTCTCATGAATATGCATTGTCAATGAAATTCCCCTAATGGCCGACAGGGTTCGTTGTAACGGAATTAGTTAACAAGTGGACCAACCCCCCCCCCCCCCCCACCACAATGTTTCACAGTTTGGCGGTAGTGGTATCGTGTCCCTCTGTGCGGGTGTGTATTTGTGCCTGGTTGTCTGCTCGGGCGCGCGTGAGAAGGCTTTCTTTGTTATTGCGTGATCAGAATTAAAGTCTGAGGAACCGAGTTTAGCATTATTCTCTTAAGGAGTCCTAGTTTGAGCATCGCTCTTGACGTTAAGAAGCTTGGCTTTCTTGACAATCATCGATTGAAGAAATGACACTACTACTGCTACTGTTATAACTACTACTACCTCTGTTACAACAACAACAACAAGTTTTCATAGCTAGTTTCCATAGCGAGGTGCACACGCCATTTAGAGGTGACAGGTTCGATTCCCGGCGCGTTAACTATATCTTTCAATTTTGTGTTGCCTAGTCTGTTCTTCTATCTTTCTACTTCTTTCTGTGAGTGCCGATCAAAACACTGTCTGTTTGTTTATTATATACAAACAATTTTCTACATCCTCAAGGGTTCCCGCTCTGTTTTTTAAATAAAGTTGTCAGCATGCTAAAACTCAAAGTTGCTGTTCAAAGTGTGTATGTTTGTATGTCAGAACAGAACGGGACAGGCCAAAACTGTCTTTTATAGAATGAAGAACATTTTATGCAACAATAAATCCATGCCTCTGGAGGAGAGGGAAAGAAATCTCGCAAACTAAATAGAGCCAGCTTTAACATACGGCTGTGAATCCTGGACAATTAATAAACAGGTAGAACGATAACTTGAGGCCTCGGAGATGTGGTTTTACAGAAGAATCCTTAAAATCCATTGGACAGCTAAGACGAGTACCCCGGATGTTTTGAAAGAGTCGAGTGCTTGAAAACAACTTATCATTTTTTTTGGTTCATGTTATGAGAAGAGGGACAACTGGGACAGGTTGTGACCACTGGAAAGATCTGTGGAAAGAGAGACAGAGGAAGACAGCGCAAGAATATTCTTGAAAGCCTTTTGTCGTGGCATAAAGGGGTGTCAGCACACGAACTGATTCACGCAGTTGTGGAGAGGCATGATCGCCCATGCCAGTCGGCAAGGTACTTGATGATGATGTGCTAGTGTACATTTTTGTGAAAGGTGTACAAAGAAGTAACAGTGGTAGTGGTAGTTTTACTCTTCTTTGCGTTCACCAGCTGTAAACTCCGGCGGAAATTTCTGGTTGTTCGTCCAATTCTGACTCTAGTCCTGTACCAGAAACAGCGTGTTGCATGGACATCCGTTTCACAGGTCTGACCGATTTGCATGCAGACTGTTGGTCCCTTGCTACGTACTTCGAATTAGGTTCTCATTTAGTCAAATCTTACGACATGTTTGTTGGGGAGAGGGTGTCGCTATGATTGTTTTTCCCACAATGGGGCCCTAGTACTCACACGGAAAGTAGTAGTAGTAGTAATAATAAAACTAGTAATAGTAATTGTAGTAGTAGCAGCAGCAGCGGCAGTAGTATTCGCACAAGTAATATCAATATCTGATGGAGGAGGAGGAGGAGCAGAAGAATTTGTATTAGGAAAGGAATGAACAGTTTTTCAGCGAGAGGAACGGAAGATGTTGATGATCCATAACACGAAACCTTCACTGCGGAGATGGTACATCACTGACCAACGGACCCAACGCCTTTAGGGTATAGGGCATAGCTAGATCTATATTTTTACGCAACGGCACAAGATGGATAATGTGGTCAGCATCACGCCGGCCGCCTCTACTTCCCGGGACTGCACCCGGTACCCACTCAAGGCTGGGTCGACCTGGGAGCCACGGTCATTTTTGAAAAAAAAAGTCCTGCTCCGCCAGGAAGCGAACCCACGACTTTCCGATCCGCGGCGCGCGTCTAGTCGCTCTGCCACGGCGACAACTGACTAATAGAGCAAAGACATATGTGCATTCTTCCAATTCAAAATGCCTGAGATTTTCCGTAAACCTTGCACAGCTTACCTTCTCGATACTTTGTCCACTTGAGACAAATTCCTCTGTCGCAGACTTTTGTACTGACACTGCCTTGGGTCACATCCATGGGGTCAGAGCATGTACTGTTCTCTGCAGCTCCTTCGCACGTGTAACATTTTATTTGTCCTGGGGGACAGAAGAAACAACAAGTAAAGTAAGTGATCCTTTACCTCGCCTTCAGACTTATTGGGCATATAGGGCTAGAGCATATTATACAGACCAATCGGTTGGTGATGTGGTCAACATCACGCCGGCCGCCTTTACTTCCCAGGATTGCACCTGGTACCCACTCAAGGCTGGATCGACCTGGGAGCCACGGTTATTTTTGATGAAGGGCCGGTTCCTTCAGGACCCGAACCCACGACCTTCCAATCCGCAGGCGAGCGTCTAGCCGCTATACACCATCGTAACTCTATACAGAAGAAACAATGGCACAGTTTAGTGAAAACTTCGAAGCAAGGAGAAATAATGTTGTACCTCTTGACTTTTTTAGTATACCAGGCAATTCTTTCCTGAACGGACAAGTATCGACATTATAAGAGAGAGATAAAGAGAAGACTGCGCTATATAGGGCGCATTCAAAAAAAAAAAAAAAAAAAAGACGAACAGACAATAACCAAACAGGCAGTGAAATGTGAAATACAGGGATTGTGGAAACGAGTAAGAGCAAGAGAAACCCTTAAGCGAACGTTGATGAGAGAAGCCAAAGATGCCAGGCTGAAATCCATCTATGATATCGACGTAAATGCACAGGATAAAGCGAAACTGTTCTAACAATGTTTTTTGGCCTCATATTGAGAAGAGAGACAGGGGATCCACATTGAGAGAGAAGCTATAGGGGACCGGTGGCGACCTTAAACGCACAATCCTATTTTTGACCCAGACGGGACTCAATGGGTAGCATGACTGATGTCGAACGCAGAAGAAGAAAAAGAAGAATGTTCCAGGCAACCAGGGGTCGTGATATGTGGAGACGCATGAGCGCCTACGCCAGTTGGCAGGACATATGATGATGATGAAAGAGGAAGGGAGCAACAGACTGCCAGCCTTAAGTGATACATAATGGCACGATAGGACAATGATGATTAGGATGATGATGACAGCAAATATAGCACAGTGGTCTCTCTGACTCATGCTATGTCAGTTCTACAAGCTCCCTCCAAGTCGGAGTACATCTGCCAGCGAGGCAGGGAACGAGAACTGCACATAAATAGGCCAGTAAAACGGATGTACACGCAAAACCCAGGTCCAAGTAAAAGCCAGAAGTCCACATGGACGAACAACCAGGACTTTCCGCCGGAATTCATAGCTGGTGAACAAGATGAAGATGAAGTTCTACAAGCAGCGATTAACACTAAAGACAGACATTTTGTAAACTTGACACAACAACTGATTAACTTCAGTTGAACAATCTGTCCTGCAGTGGATTCCAGGTCACTGTGGCTTGAAAAGCAATGAATTAGCGGACAAACTGGCAAGAAATGGTAATGACATGGTACAACCAAACAGCGACTGAAACCCACCATGGGACTAAGCCATTTAATACAATCTAGTATCCAAGATAGGTGGCTGGATACAGACACCAAATTCTCTCCTTGTTATTCGATTTATCGCCTCTCTAGAGATGCACAGTGTATTATATTCAGATTAAGGACAGGGCACAACAGACTTCGTCAACATATGTTCCAATTTGTCGGCGTAGGAAACATGGAGACGTGTCATTGCAACTTGGCACCAGAAAATGCTGAGCGTGTGCTCCAACAATATGAACTGTATGCTGCCAACGGAGATGCAGTCTGGCCTGTTGAAAGGGAAATCTGGACTGCACGATAGCTTTCATGAACGCTACAGACATTCAAATGTAGGTTTTCTTTTAAGGCATCAAAATATCAACACACAGAAAGAAAAGAATTTGATAAATGAGCTTTTAATGCCAACTGTGTGCTATCAACTGTGTGGTACCAGGAAGGAGGGGCAGAGGCCGACCGACACGAAGATGGGCACAGGATATAAGTGACTCCTTGAGTGTGAAAGTTCATGAGGCGGAGGAAATGGCAAGAGACCGAGTTTCTTACAGGCAGACTGTGATGAGAGCGACGTTCTTCAAAGGACCTGCTACATGATGATGTGTGCTATCAATGCCACAGTGACAGTCCCAGAAAAAACATAAATCCACCACTGCTAGATGTGAAATGAGATATATAAGAAAATGGCTGGAAAAACAACAAGAAGGGACAGTCAATAGTGAAGAACTAAGAACAATGATGGACACAGTATCAAGATATAATTTTATAGAACATCAAAGAATCACACGATTCTGTCGTCTGGTCAGAATGGAATAAAACAGCCAGCGGCTGGAGCGAACTACATGAGAACAGCAGGTGACAAGGCAAGAGGCCAACCAAGAAAGAAATATGTGCAGGAAGCAAAACAGACACTACAGAAATACAGTGTTGACATTAAGACAAGCTACGCAACTATCAAAAGACCGAATACGGCATCTGACCCCTCCCTGAGACGCTTTACGGCGCAATCAGTCGAACGAAAGAAGGAGAATAAGAAGAAGAAGAAGAAGAAGAAGAAGAAGAAGAAGAAGAAGAAGAAGAAGAAGAAGAAGAAGAAGAAAAACTCTTGTGACAAAATAGATGGCTCTATGGGATATTTAAAATGTATCATCATCGCCAATTTCCACTTCTGCCTCTAAGCGTCGGGGGAGGAACAGTTTGCGATCCAGTTCTTGATGGGTAGCAGTGGCTATTGTCATTCCATGTCGACTTAGAAAGTCTTTAATACCATCAGTCCATCTTCTCCTTGAGCAGTCTCTTGCTTTCACTACAGAGATCTTTTCAGATGTAGAACCTGCCTTGGTACAAGCTATGACTACATTCTAATAAGATGACCAAACAATTTATCTGCTGTTTCTCAATTAATTTGTTGCATGTAGTCTGTCTTTCACAGGCAGTATCATTTCTCACCTCGGTTCGGGGGGGGGGGGGGGGGGGGGCTGCTTGGTCTCGAGGCACGGTGTCCGCCTCGAGTGCTAGAGGTTCCGGGTTCAATCCCCGGTAAGGGCTGGAATTTTTTCATGTGGACTTGGACTTCTAGTATCCCCCCCCCCGGTCTCTGGGTTGTAAGATCAGACGCCCGTGTGCATTGTTGCACACGTAAAAAATCCCTTGGCAGTTGGAAATCGAAAAGAGTGGCCTAACGCCGGGCACAATTTGGAGTTTAAAATCTACCTAAAGTATTTCAGGATCATGGCCGGTGCGACAGAGCCTGTGCACTGTACTGAGAGTCTTCGGACTCAGACTTGAGATAGAAGAAGAACGGAGCACTTATGGGTTACTACCCTTGTGCCATGATGTTGATCCGTTGTTCAAACCTCACACCTCACCCTGTATCTGAGGGCGGTTTTCCTCGGGCATCCCCTCTTTCTAAAGGCGTTAATTTTACTTAGGTTAGCATTTGAGAATGTCCAGGTTTGGCACTGGTAGCACAGTTTGGTATGAATATAATGTTTATAACCTGTTTAAATCTAAAACAAGGGTAAAACGAAACAAGTATACAAGTTGTTTCATGACGACTACTTGAAAAAAATCAATTCAAAAGCTGCCTTTCTTGTTTTCTTGTTGTAGTTGTTGTGATCGTCGTTGCTGTGGTTTCTGTTGTTGTGGTCATTGCTGTAGTTTGGTTGTTGTGTATGTGGTTGTAGTTGTGGTTTCTGTTGTTGTGGTCATTGCTGTTGTTTGGTTGCTGTTTATGTGGTTGTTGTTGTGGTTTCTGTTGTTGTGGTCATTGCTTTTGTTTGGTTGCTGTTTATGTGGCTGTAGTTGTGGTTTCTGTTGTTGTGGTCATTGCTGTTGTTTGGTTGCTGTTTATGTGGTTGTTGTTGTGGTTTCTGTTGTTGTGGTCATTGCTGTTGTTTGGTTGCTGTTTATGTGGTTGTAGTTGTGGTTTCTGTTGTTGTGGTTATTGCTGTTGTTTGGTTGCTGTTTATGTGGTTGTTGTTGTGGTTTCTGTTGTTGTGGTCATTGCTGTTGTTTGGTTGCTGTTTATGTGGTTGTTGTTGTGGTTTCTATTGTTGTGGTCATTGCTGTTGTTTGGTTGCTGTTTATGTGGTTGTTGTTGTGGTTTCTGTTGTTGTGGTCATTGCTGTTGTTTGGTTGCTGTTTATGTGGTTGTTGTTGTGGTTTCTGTTGTTGTGGTCATTGCTGTTGTTTGGTTGCTGTTTATGTGGTTGTTGTTGTGGTTTCTGTTGTTGTGGTCATTGCTGTTGTTTGGTTGCTGTTTATGTGGTTGTTGTTGTGGTTTCTGTTGTTGTGGTCATTGCTGTTGTTTGGTTGCTGTTTATGTGGTTGCTGTTGTGGTTTCTGTTGTTGTGGTCATTACTGTTGTCAGGCTGTTGTTGTTATGGTTGTAGTTGTTGTTGCTTATAGTTGTTGTCGGTTATTACTGATGGGGTTGTGGGTGTTATTGGTTGTTGTTGATGTGGTTTTTTGTTATTGATGTAGTTCTTGTTCTTTTTGTTGTTTGCTGAAATGGTTTTTGTTTTGCTGTTCCTCTCCTCGTCTACCCCTTCTTTTCCAAACGAAGCATAGACACAGGGCGCCAACATGAAGACAACACTGGGGATACTGGGGAGGGGGGTGGTGATGGATGTTGCCGTAATGGTGGGAAGAGAGAGTTAGTCACGGCATAATGAGGTCAGGTGTCTAGTTCTGTTCCCCATAGTCTTTACTTTCAGTTACGTTTGTTATGAACAGACTCAAGCACACTGTTGAGTTTATCGAGAATCATTCACATTACAAACCGATGCTTTTACAGATGCATTAGGTTCCCCACAAATAACATTGCATATCTCATTACAATGCACGACCACTGCAGCTGGGGCGACAATACAAATTACACACATTATTTAAAATAAAAACACATACACACAACTCGTGGTAATGGATAACAAACATGGGAACATCTGTCCGACTGTGCTGAGAGTTCCTAGTTATCTGAATATGGTATGCCGAGTCTAATATCGATAATTAAAAAAACATTTAACTAAAAAAAAAATAA